TTTGGCAGGATGTGGGCCATATGTTGTGCAGCTCTCATCTAAACTTATAGATATCTCTTATACAACCTTAAAGCAAAAATACATTCTAAAAACCGGAATTTATGAAAACTAGTATAAATTGTCTTTAAGGATCATAAATAAATCCTAAAACTATCATAATGAGAGATAGAGTGAAGGTAGCCAAGGTGAGATTTGGCAGCTCATTGTATATGTGCTATGAAGGAGAGGAGTGCAGGATAATGACAACCTTGTGGAGCTGGGAGGCTGAAAGATGGTGGTGCCTTCCATAGAAAGAGGGAAGTTTGAAAGAGAAGGAAAGTGCAGGGCAAAAAAAAATTGCGTTTAGGTTTGAGCAGTTTGGGGTTAAATGGTCTGTGAGACAGTGAGTTGGAAATTTCCAAAAGGGAATGGGTGATGGGACTGAAGTACAGAGGAGGAATTGAGGTTTCTAGATCACAGTCATTTGTATAGAGATAATAATTAAATTAATCCAGAAGGAAAAAGAGCAAAGGACCCAGGACAGAGCCTTGGGGAACATGCACTGTTGGGTTGCATGTGGTCCATGGGCTGTGAAGGAAGACTGAAAAGGTGTAGTCAGACAGGTAGGCAGTGAAGAAGTAGAGAAAACCCCAGAGGAATGAGAATCCAGGAGGAGAGAGTGGGTAACAATGTCCAGTACAGAGAAAAGTACTTCAGGCTGGGCCACTTAAAAGTTCACTGATAACTCTAGAGAGAACAATTTTGGAGGAGTGAGGTAGAGAGCAGAGAGTTCAGTGGGTTCAGAGTGGTTTTTCAGGGAGTTTGGCTAAGAAAAGGATGTAAGAGAGAAAGATAGCTGAAGGGCTGGAGAGGGTCTAGTAAAGGGTCCCTTATGGATGCAGGAGGCAAGTGTATTTGAAGGCAGAAGGAAAGGAACCAGCTGGTAGAGAAAGGTTGAAAATTTGAGAGATGAGAAAGATGAGTGAGCCTGCAAACTGTTGGAGAAGACAGTATGGGCTGGGATCAAAAGCCCATGTAGAGGGTTGGCCTTGTCAAAGATAAAGACAATCTCCTTCTGAGAGCCTGGAAGAAAGAAGCTGCTAGAAGATTACATGAAGGGGTTTTGATATGGAGAGAAGGGGAGTATTTATTCATTCAATAAACATTTCTTATGTGCCAGGCATTATGTTTAGTGCGGAGGAAAAAAAAAAGTAAATAGCAGACTGTTCTCTCAAGGACCTCACAACAATGGGGGAAACACAGTCCATCATGTCACTATTAAGGAAATGGTAGAAATTGAAATGGAAGCACACCAGGGAACAATCACCTTGGCCGAACATGTTCTGCAAGTCACAGACTGGACAAACAGATGACTCCCAGGGAAGGATCAAGGGATTTCCAGACCTGGCCATGCTCTCCAGCCAAACATCTTCTATCAACCCTGAACCAAAATTCATTCTCTTGACTTTCGTCCTCCAGTGTTCTAGAGTTCTGAAGAGCATATTTAGATCATTTTTTCTGATAAAGAACCTGGCAATGCATCTCATGAATTAGTTCCAATTCCAACTCCACTTCATAAAATATTACATTTTTGATACGTGAAAAAACTCTCCTTTCCGCATTGAAATTACTCTTCTTTCTGTATGAACATCAAAATTAATGAAAATATGCCATTAACAAATGAAAGCAATCGTTAGCCAAGACATAAGATGTTTTGTCTCTAACACATCACACCCACAGCCTCTTGAAGCCCTTGGTATAACAGTAGATATTCCTGCCTCAGTGGCAGTTAGATGGTGTGGTGGGAAGAGCCCCAGGCCTGGATGCAAGAAGACCTGAGTTCAAATGCAGCCTCAGTCATTTAGCAGCTGTGTGACCCTGGCCTAGTCATTTAACTCTGTTTTCCTCAGTTTCCTCATCTGTAAAGTGAGCTGAAGAGGGGAATGACAAACCACTTCAATATCTTTTTGAAGAAAACCCTAAATGGGATAATGAAGAGTTGTCTCTGACTGAAACAGCTCAACCACAACAAATCTCTTCTTTACTTATATGGAAACAGGCTCATACCATTCAATTTAGTCAAGACTGTGATTAATATTTCTTAAGAAATCTCTTCATGTTTCCAAACTGAAGGAAATTAACCAGAAATTAACCTTGATCAAACCAGAGACTGAGGTTTGCAGAAGATGAATCAGGTAATTTGGATTACATAAAATGTAAAAGGTTCATGGCAACAAAACAAAATGCAGCCAAAATTAAACTAAAATCAGGAAACTGGAAGGCTGGCATTTTTACCTGGATAAAATTTCTCTGATGAAGGTTTCATTTCTCAAATATATAGAGAACTGACTCAAATTTATACATTCTCTAGTTGATAAATGGTGAAAGTATATGAACAGGAAATTTTAGAGGAAGAAATCTGGGATATTAATAGTCATATAAAGAAATTATCTAAATCACTAATAATTAGGGAAATGTAAATGAAAAAACAAGTGAGGTTCTACCTCACCTCCATGAAATAGGGTAAGATGGGAGGAAAGGAAAATAACAAATGTTGGTGGGGATGTGGGAAAGTAACTACAATAATGCCTCATTGGTGAAGTTGTGAACTAGTCCATCCAATCTGGAGAAAAATATGGATGTATGCCCAAAAGGCTATGCAACTTTACATGCCTTTTGACCTGGCAATGCTGTCACATGGTCTTTTCTCAAAGGAGATAACAGGAAAACAAAAAGGATCCATATATAGAAAAATATTTCTAGCATCTCATTTTGTGGTGGTAGAGAAGTAGAAATGAAGGAGATGCCAACTGGTGAATGGCTGAAGCAGTTATGGTATGAGAACGTGATGGTATATAATTATGCTGTAACAAATGATGAAGGGAATGTTTAAAAAATATCTGGAAGGACCTATATGAATGATGCAAAGTGAAGTAAGCAGAACCAGGAGAACAATGAAGACAGCAATATCAGAAAGAAAAAACAACTGCCAGGGGGTGTTTAATCTTTCTTTGTATCCTCAGCAGTCAGCATACCAGCTGGCACTTAGTAGGTGCTGAACAGATATTTATTGATTGATGCATAAATGTTTTTCAATTAACATGATCATTCCCCCAGCTCAAGAGAATCTGAGGCATTTTCTTCTTTCTTGCACTCCAAGATCTGCAATGTCAGCTCTAGTCAAGGAAGGAGACCTTCTGGGAATCAAGGTTGGGGTTTCTTGAGACTGAGATGGCTCAAAGATGTCACTGCCATACATATGGATTCAGGTGAGATTTTATCCTTTTCATAATCAGAGGTCAGACAGTCTATCAAATAAAAATGACTCTTATATTAGAAGTGAACTTGTAACCAAACTTGTAAAGCCTCCTTCTCCAGGAGCATAGCCTTGGAGCTGCGATATCTGTGCCTTCTGGAAGCTACCTCTGCTGCTGCAGGGCCCAGGAAGGTCAGACCGTGGGCAACACAGAGTTCCTGGCTTATGCTCACTGTCCTTTCCACCTGGTTTCTCTTCGCCCCTCTCTGCACTCCACCCCTTCACCTGCAAGAAGTCTTGGTTACTGAGTGAACCACTTCATCCCTTTAGAATTGGACACCCTTTTCTCAGTACCTTCTTCCCCAGGACTGCTAAGATGTTGTGACCTTGCCAAAGAGAAGGTCCAAAGGCCTTCACTTGGTCAGTTCCCAAAGAACTTCAGAGATAATATTGAACTTCATACTGACTCAGTGGCCCATTGTTCTCAGACCTGCTTGTCAGTCGGTGTTGGGAGAGGCATTAGGCAGCCTGCTCCTCATCCCCTAGCCAGTCACCCCCTGCCTGTTTGCTCCTGGTAGCCCTCATGTCCTGGCAATAGGTGAGGAGCTGAGATGCAAAGGCCCATCCCATTTTACTGCTTCAGACCAAGACAAATTGTCTTATCTCATTACAAAAGGCATCAGTAAAAGCTGGTTCTATCATGAATCCCCTGATGACCTAAGGTGATGAACCCCTCAGTGTTCTGCTAGCTTGACACAGGATAATAGACTCCTTTTAATTCTCTTTGTCCTGTGTTTTGCCTCCTTCATCAGGGTGAAAGAATGAATGAAGAATATACAAGGTCTTTTGTACTGTTCTGAAAGAGGAAATTATTATTATTCATCTTAAACCAAATATGTCCAAAGAAATATGTAAGATTTTTTCAACACTGTAACCACTCTTACACCTTAATTCATAATTTCACTGCATTCTGATCAAAAGAAGTTAATTTTCTAAGGTTTCAATTGAATATTCTTCTAGAAATCATTTTGCAAATGAAAGCATAAGTTAAATGATAGTTTCCTCCATAACCAGAAATAACAAAAATTTGAAACATAGTAACATAAACAATGTTAGTTTTAATACATGAAACAAAGTTGCCAGTCACATAACATCAGTTCAATTATTTTAGAATTATCTTAGATATAAAAAACACTTTATCCATTTATCCCTTTAACCCTATATACCCTATAGACTGATTGCATTCACAGAGTACAATAGAGTAATTTTCATCCAGTTACATTTAGTTCTCATTCTTTCAGCTCCTAAACACAACACCTTTTTAAATGCCAAATTTTAAGTGTATCTTCCATTAAGAGTGGATCTGCCCTTAGGGTCAAACTGAGATCCCTCCTGGGATCTGACTTTAAATGAACCCCATTCTAATTTAAGTCAGGAGAAACGTGCTAACCCATCTGACTGCATTTTTTGAACAACCTCCGTTAAACTGTTTTGCCGTGAATCACTTGCTTGCCTGGAAATCTCCAGGTTGCCACTTCCTTGCTCTCCCCCTCCCACCTCCTAAAGTCCCGAATCTTTCCTCCAATAAGGAATCAGGTGGCAGAGTGAGAGGGGAGCAGGAGATGACCAGCCTGATGGGTGGTGGCCCAGGTGGAATAAGAGCCCTGGGGTGGAGTTTGGAGGCCTGGGAGGAGCCTAGGGCAGGAGAGAGCTCGTCCCAGTGGCCAAGGCATTCCATGTGATGGAGGGCAGGGCTTAGGCAGGAAAGGCAGACTGGGTCTTGAGCAGCTGGCCCTGGATGTGATTGGAAGAAAGGGTCCTTCCTGGGGGACTCAGAGGCTGGGAGGACCCTCCCAGAGTACGCTGGCTGAAAACCGGAAGTTGTGCTGAGACTGGGCTGCCTTCTTCCCTCCAAATTAAGATTTCTCTGCCTTCCTCCCTCACAGCTGAGATCACTGCTGCCTTCTCTTGTACCTGAGATCTCTGCCTTCTTGATGCTATCTCTGTGGGTGCAGATCCCAGGTAGGTTTGAGCCAGCCCCTCACAGACCTGCTGCCTGTTCAGGCCATTGGCTCTCATCCCCTTCCTCTGACCCTGTGGTATGTGTCCTCCAGGTCCACCTGGAGCAGTCCTCCTGCCCAGGCCTGGCTACTGGACAAGCTCTGCATCCCTAACCCTTTCCAGACTCCCAGTCACTTCCCAAATGCCTGGGGTCAGCCTCCTCAGACTTACCATTGGGTCACCTTTTCCCAAATTCAGACTTTATAACCCAGGGACTCAGAAATCGTGCTTTCCATCTTCCCATCAGGACCCAGTTATCCTGTTTCCCTGCCTGCCGGTTGTGGTTAGAGGTTGATTTATTCTAACTTCAGACCAAGCCTCCAACTACCCTCCCCCACCCTCGATAAAGAACCAAAAGTTCTGCCTGCCCTGAGTACCCAACTTTTTATGCAGAACCCCCAGCTCCTGCCTGGCCCCTTCTCTGGACCCCCAGTTCCTGGGCTGCTGCGCTGTCAGATCCCAGACACTGGCTCCCTGTCAGCTCTCCCTTGGGGGATTCCAAGCCTAAGCTCTACTAGAGGGTCCCAGGAGTACTCCCCAGCTCCTGGTTAGACCTCGGGACATAGTCGTTCTGCTTTCTCAGGCCCAGTGTGTAACTGAAGCTCTCTGTCTCTCCAATGTCCCTGACCTCCCTGCCATGAGGTGGGTTAGAATATCTCCCTCCCAGCCCCTACCTGTGCTCCTCTTCCCCAGGCCTCCTGCTTTCCTGCCCCCTCTTCCTTCTGAGCCCTCAGCCTCCCTGGCAGGGGGCTGAATGCCAGACTGGATTTTGTCTTCTAGCCTCAGGCTTCCCCTCGTCATTCCTGGTGGCTCCTTTCTAAGCTTCCCTCCTACCTAGGTAAAGCAGTCAGTCTGTTTTCTGGATTATGTGGGTGTTACTTGGAGAGAGGGGGAGGCAGGGAGGGCAGAAGACGAACTGGAGGGAGAGCTCTGATTCAGGAGCCATTGAGGCTCTGCCTGGTCTCATCCCATCTGGGATCCCAAGCTCCTTCTGCCTCTTGGGTCTCTGAAGGACAATGGATGAGGGGAAGGGGACAGAAGAGAAGGACTAGGAGAGGGTGGGATCATCTCATTTCCAAACCTGACCCTTCCTGTAGGCTGCACTCTCTCCCTGAGGGCAGTGCCTCACCCCTGTAAATTCCTGCAGGCCAGCCTCCTGCCCTGGGATCCTTCTCCCTCCCCAGCTCAGTGTGCAGAGGACCAAGGCCTCACCTAGCAGGGAGCCTGGAACCAGAGGGAATGGTCCCTGGGAGCCGCAGACCCTCAGCCCAGGTGAGTGCACTCTGCCCTCAGACTTGACCCACATCAGCCGAGGAGGCCATTTCCAGAGACAAAGAGGATTGTCTCAGAGGCTGGCCATCCCCCTACCTTTGGATTGTTTCTTTACAAAAATAGGCAGGGAATTGAAAACAGTAGTAACAACACTGCCCTTCTCTCTCCTTCTGTGTTTTGAACTGATTCTCAGCACTTTGGCATCACAAGCACTACATACTACTGTTCCCCCATCCCAGTTGCTGCCCTGTCATGTTCAGTTTTGAAGTTTTCCCTCTTGATCCCTGATTCACCAGGATAACCACTTAACTCATTCCTCTCTCTTCTGCAGGGGTCTTGTCTTTGCTCCCTTTATGCATGCCTAGCCCCCCTCCCCCACACATCCATAGAACTGCTTCCCCCTCCCCTTTGCTTCTTTGGCCAATCTCTCCCTGCCAGACCTTGAAGACAGGATGCCCTGCTTAACCTCCAGGGTCCCAGCTGCACAAACAGTTTATCTCTCTGGTGCACACTGACTGGTCCTGTCTCGTAGCTGGTTTGACCCTCCAGGGCACACTGAGAGGGCAGTGAGGGTTGAAAGGACCAAATTCTATGAGCTAGGGCTGGGGGGTGTTCTGGCCTCCTGCATACTCTGGTCCACTGTTTCTGGAAAATATGGCAACTCCAGAAAACAGGTTAAGTTGGCTCCTGGGTCAAATTCACATGTTCAAAGGTGCTTAGCAGAGCTGTTTGGAGCAGGCTAAAGGAAAAAGTACCTTCTTTGGCTGTTAATTAGCATTTGGGAAGGGCCTAGTACTTCCCTTATTAAAGAGGACATAGAGAAAGGGCTGAGTTTAGGGAATTATTCAAAGAGTTTTCTTTTCCAGTGGGGGAAAAGAGGATATTGAAGAAGGCACACAGTTCTTGTCAAGGAGGAATCCGGCTAAAAGGAAAGACAGAATGGAATGACTTACTTTCTCTCCAAAATTCACTTTTGACCATCTTCAGAAAAACCCTATATGGTAGATATTCTTATTATCTTTATTTCACAGTTCAGGAAACTAAGGCAAACAGACCAGTCAGGGTCACATAGATAGTAAGTGTCCAATGCTGGATTTGAACTCAGATCTTCATGATCTTCAACCATTTCCTAGCTCCATCAGCTACCCTTCTCCTAAATAGCTATTTTCCCTTTTCATTCTCTTTGGTATACTTTACTACACTGACTTAGTAGTGTTACTCCTGGATCAAAGGGTATGAACAGTTTTATAGCCCTCTGAGTATAGTTCCAAAGTGTTCTCTAGAATGATTGGATCAGTTCACAACTCCACCAAGAGTGAATTAATGTCCCAGTTTTCCTACTTCCCTCCAATATTTATCATTTTCCTTTTTTGTTTTATTAGCCAATGTATAGGTGTGAGGTTGTAACACAGAGTTGTTTTAATTTGTATTTCTCTAATTAATAGGGAGTATTTTTATATGATTACAGTTATTTTTTTTGATGAGACAATGGAGTTAAGTGACTTCCCCAGCGTAACACAGCTAGTGAGTGTTGTGTGTCTGAGGTTGGATTTGAACTCAAGTCCTCTTGACTCCAAGGTCAGAGCTCTATGCACTGCAACACCTAGCTGCCCCACTGATTTGATTTCTTTATCTGAAAACTGCATGTTCATATCCTTCAACCATTTATCAATTGGGTTATGACTTATAGATTTGACTCAGAGCTCTATATATTTGAGAAATGAGGCCTTTATCAGAGATACTTGCTGTAAATTTTTCCCCCAGTTATTAGCTTTTGTTCTAATCTTGGTAGCATGGATTTTCTTTTTCTAAAAATGGTTTTTAATTTAATACAGTCAAAACAAACTATTTAATATGTATAATACATTCTCTCCTAAATTCTTCCCTTATCCATAAATCTGATAGGTAAACTATTCCATGTTCTGCTAATTTGCTTATGATATCACTCTTTAAGTCTAAATCACATACCCATTAAGGTACATGGTACCTTATCTCATATACAATGTGAGATATTGCTCTATACACAGTTTCTGCCATATCATCTTCCATTTTTCCTAGCAAAGTTTGCCAAATATTCAGTTTCTGTTCCAAAAGGTTGGGGATTGGTGTAGCACTGAATAAGTAGGTTAATTTAGGAAGAATTGTCATTTTTATTATATTGGCTCAGGCTATCCATGAGCAGTTCACGTTTTTTCTACTTCTTTAGATCTGACTTTATTTGTGTGAAAATCTTTTTTTAATTGTATTCTTGTAGTTTCTGGGTTTGTCTTGGAAGGTAGACTCCCAGGTATTTTTTACTGTCCTGAGTTATTTTAAATGGAATTTCGTTCTGTGTTTTGCTGCTGGATTTGTTGGTAACATATAGAAACATTGATGATTTACATGAGTTTCTTTTATATCTTGTAACTTTACTACAGTTGTCAATTATTTCAACTAGGTTTTGAGTTGATTATGTAGGATTCTTTCAGTATAGGATCATATCATCTTCAAAGAGTGACAGGTTTGTTTTCTTATTCCTCATTGTAATTCCTTTCATTTCTTTTTCTTCTTATTGCTATACCTAGCATTTCTAGTTCGATAGTGAACAATAGTGCTGATACCGGGCAGCCTTGCTCCACTCCTGATCTTAATGGGAAGATAACCCCCTTACATGTGTTTGTTGACAGTTTTAGATAGATATTACTTATTATTTTATAAAAAGCTTAATTTTTTTACCATGTTCTTCTAGTGTTTTTAAAAGGAATGAGTTTTGCATTTTGTCAAAGGCTTTTTATGCATCTATTGAGATAATCATAAGGTTGCTTTTGGTTTTGTTATGGATGTGGCCAATTATGCTGAGAGTTTTCCTCATATTGACATCGTCTTCCATTCTTTGTATAGATCCCACCTGGTTGTATAGTGTATGATCCTTGAGATACTTATGACTGTAGTCTACTTGCTAGTACTTTATTAAAATATTTTACACCACTATTGATGAGGGAATTTTGTCCACATTTTCCTTCAGTTTTCCTTCTTCCTGATTTAGGGTTTAGCAACTTTTTACTTTTTGATGAGGTAGTTGGGGTTAAGTGACTTGCCCAGGCTCACACAGTCTTAGTAATATTTTTGTGTGATAAAAGGAATCTTTCTTTGCCTTATATCCAAATAGTTTATTTAGTATTGGAATTCGTTGTTTTTTAAATATTTGGTAGAATTTACTTGTCAATCTAGGAGATTTTTTCCTTATGGAGTTCATTGATAGATGTTGAATTTCCTTTTCTAAGATTGGGTTATTCAAGTATTCATTTTCTCTTCTGTTAATCTGGGCTATTTAGATTTTTATAAATATTCATTTACTTCACTTAGATTTTCAGATTTCTTGCCACATATTTGGGCAAAATTGATCTTAGTAACTTTTTATTTTCCCTTCATTCTTTTCACTTTTGATACTGGGAATTTGGTTTTCCCTTTTAAAAAAAAATCTGATTAGCCAATGGTTTATCTTATTGGCTTTTTTTCTTTATAAAAACCATTTGCTAGTTTTATTTATCATTTCAATGGGTTTCTTATTTTCAATTTTATAAATTTTGCTTTGTTTTCAGAATTTCCAATTTGGTATATAATTAGTAGGAGTTTTCAATTTGTTCTTTTTTTTAATTGCATGTCCAATTCATTGATCTGTTCTTTCTTTATATGATTGATGGAAGTGTTTAGGTATATAAAAAACTTCCCCCAAGTACTGCTTTGGCTGCATCCTATAAATGTTGTGCCATGTCTTTGTTGTTATTCTCTTTATTTAAATTATTCTATGATTTCTTCTTTGGTGTATTTATTCTTTAGGGTTAGATGTTTCCAGTTAATTTTTTAATGTTTTTCACTGCCCTTTATTGAATGTAATTTTTATTGCACATTGAACTGAATAGGCTACATTTCATATTTCTGGTTTTCTACATTTGATTATGAGGTTTTTATGATCTAATCCATGGGGAGTTTTTGTATAAATGCTATGTACAGCTGAGAAAAAGGCATATTCCTTTCAATTCTCATTCAGTTTTCTCTAAAGTCTAGCAATCTAACTTTTCTGCAATTTATTTACCTGCTTAACTTCTTTATTTTTTAGTTAGATTTATCTAGTTCTGAGAGAGAAGATTGACATTCCCCACTAGTATAGTTTTATTGTCTATTTCCCTCTGTAACTCATTTAAGTTGTCCTTTCAAAACTTAGATAATACACCACTTGGTGCGTATGTGTTTAGTATTGACATCTTTTCATTGTTTGTGACATCTTTTAGCAAGATATACTTTCCTTCCTTATCTCTTTTAATTAGATCTATTTTTGCTTTTGATTTGTCTGCGATGATCATTTTTTTTTTGTTACTTCAGCTGAAGCATAATACATTCTCCTCCAGCCCTTTACCTTTACTCTGCATGTGTCTCTGCTTCAAATGTGTTTCTTGTAAATGACTTATTGTAGGATTCTGGCTTTTAATTCATTCTGCCATTCACTTCAATTTATTATGGGTGAGTTCATTCGTTTCATGTTTACAGTTATGACAACTTTATTTCCATTCATGCTATTTCTCCTATTTATCCTTCTCTCTCTCTCTCTCTCTCTCTCTCTCTCTCTCTCTCTCTCTCTGTCTCTCTCTCACACACACACACACACACACACACACACACACACACACACACACTCACACACTCTCTCACCTTTTACTCTATCTGGCCTCACCAGTATTTTGCTCCAGATGAATACCTCCCCCAATCTGCCCTTCTTTCTATCAGTCCACCCTCCCCTTACCACTGCCCTTTCTTGTTCTCAATAGGATGAGATAGATTTCTATACCCAACTGAGCATGTATTCTTTTCTGTTTCAGCCAATTTTGATAAGAGTAAGGTTCAAGCCCTTCCTTCCCACATCCCCCATCTTCCCCTTTACTGTAATAGCTCTTCTCTTCCTCTTTTATGGGAGATAATTTAATCCCTTTACTTCTTCCTTCCCTCTTCTTGCAATGCAATTC